AAACAGATTTACATCGACCCTGTGCGATTTTTCAAATTCCATATCTGAAAAACCGTAAAAGAGAAGAGGTTGAGTAAGATTCCAGAATATAGCTCGACTCTTCTACTTTAATGCTCGATGATGCGTTCATAGAAAATCAAGTTTTAAATCACCGAAAAACAAAAGAATTCGAATTTAAACAGTAATCTCGCGAATGGTAGTGTTTTGCTTGAAAAATCGTAATTTCTATACCTTTCGCTGCTTTGATTCGCAGGATTAGTGTGATGAAGTTAAGAGATAGTTCTAACAGAAAACAATATAACTCTATTGCGTGCGTTCGGAAAACATGTTTACTTTACTGACCACTGGCGGATTCGCGTCATGTTTATAGGATATAGTGGCTCTCTAGCGATTTACGGGAATTGGGAAGAACTCATAGATCACGCACTTCTCTTCGCTATAGTCCTTCAAACACAATTCACCGGATCTGTCTGGCACCATAAAACCAGCCGAAGGGTTAAAGTCGGCAAGAGAGCGCGATGTTACAAATTTTCTTTCAGCTTTCATCCATTAATCTCTCTCACCGGCCCGACCGTCCGGTGTTTGCAGTTATTTTTCTCCGGCTAATCCATGCACATGTGTGCACGCTGTGTATATATGTGCACGCGACATCTTGTGTATCGCCTCGCGTGTGAAATTATAAACTCGATTGAAATTGCCGTCGTATGTTCGCGCTTGCCATTTACCGTCCCTGACTGGCTGGCTCCCGGCATACAATACTATATCTCGTACAAATGAGCGTATGTACATGAGCCTAAGTATACGACAGGTATACGTTATCTCGGTCCCGGTATCCCGACGGTTCAGAAATTCATTCTCGTCCCGCGCCACTCCCGGGGAGGTGTTGAAGTGTATAAATGGCAAACTTGGGGTGCCCGTGTGCTCGGCAGCCGCTCGCATTCGGTAGCAATTGTGAAAACTGTCTCAGGTACTGAGCGCGTTAACACTTTAACGCGCCAGCTCGCGAAACGGCACCCCAGACCCCTCGGAATTTCGGTTAACCCCAGTCGAGCATTCAAGACGAAAATTTATCAACCTTCGCGAATATTCCCGGGCTCCGTGCGCTGTTATCCTCCAATTGGAGGTCCGCTCCAGTGTGTGCCGTACGCGTTCGGTCTGAACACACGGTGAAACCAATCTAGCGAGGAAGGAATCACAATCGCGCGCACGAAGTGCACCGAAATTTCGCGGGATTTATATCGTTGTACTAGCAAACAGCGCGTGAGATATTAGCTATTCAGCTTCCACTTTCCAGTGGAAAAAGTCCAAATCTGTAGAATCCAAATAATCTTAAGGATATTTTTCATTGGTTTCTCGATATAAAATCGATTTTACTGTTATCGTAATAAATCGTCCTTCTCTAGATTTTAATGATTATTCGTGATATTTTCTTGCATAATTATTAATTGATTTTCATATGTTGCCGTATGGACCGATAATTAGAAGTGTAACATACGCAGTGAGCGCCTGTCGTGCTTTTTCCCTTGAGCTTTGTAACATTATAAGCACGTTTCATTTATTTACGAGTAACAGCATTGATTAAATATATAATTGAATGATTTACAAACATTAACCTTCCTTCTCTAAAGACAATTTCTTGATATAAAAATTGTCCCTTCAAGATTCCTTCAGAGTTTTAGTGAACAAATTTTTACTTTCAAACCACAGCGTATCCACACTTGGATCCACAACCTCAAACTGTCACTCGTCTTTGGTGATGACAGTCGCGCTTTGCTCGCTTTGTCACTCGCGTCTGTCGCGCGATGATCAATTACACGCTCGAAAAAGGTGGAACAATGAAACTCGAGATTTTAATGCAAACACGCCTCACGGATATTTCATCGTTTATTTTACTCATGAATGGATGAATAAAAGTTTGCTTTTTAACAACCTGTTACGCGCGTTTATTTTTTTCTTTATGACGAAGGATCAACTTCGGGCCGAGTTTGTCTGTTATTTGTAATGGCAAGACCTGCAAATATGTCAAGTGAAGTGATTGCTAGAAATCAATTGTTCTAATAAAATTGGCTGCGGCGTCGTAAACATTTGATTGATTTTCCTGTTTGACTTTGACCGTCCGGTTAATAACCGACGCCGGGCGAATAAATAAATCAATATGATTAAACGTCGGTGTGATTATTCGACAAAATCCGTGTTACATTGTTGCCGAAACGTATGCTGGAATATGTGTACGCCTTATAACCGCAAATCATCGCGAGCTGCCCGTTGTTCGACATTGCGAGTGGGCGAAAGTCATAAATCATTGAAAAATGTCTCTTTGCCGCGATAAGGATCGGTGGTAAATGGACTTCTAAAAACAAGGGAGAAACCTCGGACGAATTCCACCCGTAATGGCATCGTCACGCGATGACGCATTCGTTACAGCACTTTGCGAGACTGTCGCGCGCCGCGTACACGCATTACAATCGCGCACGGGATTTCGTAAAATCGGGTCAAGCGTTGCGGACATGTTTTTATCTCGTTACGTATTTCGAGGTTGAATTTTTATCCGCCGCCCGTTGTAACTCCGGAATCCGCCGGACATTCGCAAGGCACGCCCGCGTTATTCCCGGCGTATTCGTATCGATTATGCACGCGACCTGTGATTGATACTCGGGAGCGCATCATCGAGATAACTATGATTGACGAATCAGTAACCCGCGTCACGTCGCGTGGCCGTGCATATTTCTAATTCGTAAGTGAAATCTCGCGGTAGACGCGGAACGAAAATCGGATCGACTTCCCGCGGACGGAATTCTGATCAGCCGTTAGGGAATTTGTCTTTTAATTTCTACGATCCATCGCGCGGTCGTGCAGCCCGCGTCATGTACAGGGTGTCTGTCGTTAAGTGGGACATCCGTCAAACATACGTGTAGTTTAAGCCAGTGTGAACGAGAACGTCTATCTCTCTCACTTTGCAAACTCTATCATTTTGCAAAATAGCGGAGGACTTTTTTATTCACATTAGCCTGAACTACAAATATATGACAGTTGTTCCGCTTAACGATAGACTGTATACTCTGTATGCTGCATCATTCCCTAAACGGAAAATTATACTATTTTCAGTTTTACATGTAATTTATAAAGTTGAAAATCGCGCAAGTAACTCTAATTATAATGATGAAATTATATTGGCTCTAATTATAACGAATTTTGTCTTTATATGCAAATATGTAAGGTTGAAAATCGTATAATCCGCGTCGTGCGACTCGGCGGAAAAAATTCATCGTGTCGTCGAATACCTCGATACATTTGTAGCGAAGTATGACCTGAGGATAATCAGGTGTCCGACGGTATTCCAAATTCTCTCATCGGCGTGTACTCGAGAATTTGTCGAGTGAAACGAAGAGAGAATGTATTAAAGCATAACTTGAAGAGCGAGACAAGTGAAACTCGCAGGAGAGCTCTGTCGGTTCTGGTGAATTTAGCCATTACAGCGGGGAGGATCCGTCAGAGCTTCGAACTGAAATCTTTTTAAAGCCACTCTACGCACTTCAGACCCGCACGAAACTGAATACAGTGTACTTCCTCGGCTCGCTTCTGGATTCCCGCGTCGCCGTTGATAAATTTCGTCAGTCCGTATAACGAAGGACGCGTCCCGTAATTGTCGCGACGGGCCTCCTTTCGCGGCGAATGCGCTTTATCGACTGGCATTATCGGTAATACGCCGGAAAATTGCAAGAGTGGGAAAAAAAGTTACCCAGATAAGCACCATATTTCTTATGTAGCGTAGCGGGGAGTGAAGCGGAAAGATGGGAAGATGCAGGAGAGAAGCGACGTGAAAAAGCTCGAAGACCGGATAACGTGAAACTTTTTTATTACGTAGAACGGCAACGCTGCCGCGTTGCTGTTGGGCGGGAGAAAGATAAAAGTACAACGCAAAGAGAGAAAGAGAGGGAGGATAAAGAAAGAGTCGTAATTGCGTGAGGTGTGGGCCAACTAGTTGTGATATTTATAACGTATCCCGGCTGTTTGCGCGCCAACTCGGCAATTGTCGGAGTAACTTCCCGACCCGATTAAAAACTGCAAGGGCGGAAGCTCGTAATATAATTAACTCGCGAATCGAGTGAGCGTTCGTTTATGAACGAAGCAACGGGAATCGTGAATCGAGAGGAAGTTATTTAAGTATTTCGATTTCGTATTTATTTAAGAATGGACGGAAATTAATCTTTCTCTCCGCGTTAAATTCAGAGTTTCATTTGAAAATATCCGTCCTCTCCTTCCTGACCGGTGATCGGGTTTAAAATTAGACCAGTCGAACGAGCTGCACGCGACACGGGAATCGGTGGCGTTACAAGCAACCTATGAGTCATCGGGGTTTGAAGATGCGGTTTAAGCGGAATTATATATTCAAACGCATGCATATTTACCGGCCGTTAATTACACCTCATTATATCCACAGGACTGTGCCCCCTCACGGGACTATGCCCGACGCTTACTAATTCGCATGTTTCCTTCTGTTTGCAGAGCATTCGAGAGAGATGCCGTCGCATATTCGTCGGGAAATCGGGCAGAATTGCACTCGCAGTCGAATGAATGCCGGTCGCTGCGTTCGTCCGGCGGAATCAGTTTTTCGATTTATTTCAAAACTCTGTTAGCGCTCCGATATTCCGCGATATCGGCGATATCGCGCCCGGAAAACGCCTCGGGTAATTGATTTCGAAATAATTCGTCCGAGCGGGATCGACGCTTCGGACCATCCGCTAGATATGCTTCCGGAGGGAAGATCGCCGACTTGAGCGCGTTCGTGGGCGGCTCTCGGAAACGCGGAAAGCGCGAGTCGGGAAATTAACGAGCAATGAACGAACGTATATACGTGGATCCTGTGTGTTCGCGCGCGTGTTCCGTGCGCGCGAGTGATAAAGGAGAGCCGTGATGAAGCTCGTGATAAAAAAGAATAAGCCGACGAGGGTGATATCACGACGCGACGTAACGGCCGGCGGCACAGGGACACCTTCGATATGAGCGCATGGGTCGACGAGGGGATGAGAGATCGAAGTGCACGGGTGACAAGAAAATGTCGATTCAAGGGCGCAATCTGTCCGATAACCTGGTTTCCACCGAGTATTTTGGTGCTTTGGAGACCGATGGCTACTCGCCGATCGTTACCGGCCTGCCCCGGTTCACCACCGTCACTTCCGGCATCGCGAACGTCAGCCTGCCGTTCGGCCAGCAGTCGAGCCAAGACCGCCTCATGAAGACTCTGATTATACCGCTTTACGGTATAATCTTCTTCCTCTCCATCGTGGGGAACTCGTTGGTGCTCATCACCCTGGCGAAGAACAGAAAGATGCGCACGGTGACGAACGTGTATCTGCTGAACTTGGTGAGTAGCCCGAAAGCGTCCGCGCGACCTCCGTCGGACGGAAGGACCGCGCGCAGTTTCCCGGGTCGGAATTTCTCGAAATTCCTACAAGTGTCTCTAATTTTCCATTAGAAAGTCGAATCTTCCCGAATACAGGAGCTCTCGGAACTTCCTGATGTGAAATCTCGTTCGAAACAGTGGCGAAAGTGCCACCGCTCGCGATGGTAAGGTGGGGTGTGTGTGTGCTTCATTCAAACTTAAAACAAATATTCCGACTTCCCGCGAGTTCTCGAATGTTTCAATCGATTAGAATGAAATTGTGACGATCCCCGATGAAAACTTGACGATGGAAAAGTGAAATTTACGCCTCGATGTCTGGCGAAAATATTGATCGGGCGATGCAGGATGGAGAATTCATTCCGCATGATGAAAAATCGCTTGAGGTCGAGTGACTCGGCTGTCGCTCCATTTGTCGAGTGATATTCCACTCTCGACGAAGTTGAGCGAATTGAACGTCATCAGGACGATAGAATATTAAATGATGGAAAATCGGTGGCTTCTTTAAGAGACAAAAGAAGCAGCGGGCTGTTTTTTAGCATCCGAAGCCGATAGAGCGTTATACCTTGAGATTTCCCATTGGTCCTGCGAGTTGGACGGAATCTGCAAGATTAAGATGGGAGCAACATTTCGACTCGGGTTCGTCGACGGAGCGAGCGTGGATACGACAGGCCGGCTTTATCGACGCGCAGCGCACTCGGTGCTTTAAAATTCGCGCTGTGACACGATCGTCATTATCGATGCAGCGGACGATGGGATTCCCCCGAATCGCCCTGACTTGCGTCGATTGATTTCAGATTGTTCTCTGCATTTTGCAAGCGTACTCGCCGCATGACGGTATTTAGCGGTAACAAGCTCGACGATATGGCCGAAATTATAGCCGCTTGCGTTGTACAATGGCTCGCTGTAATCGACCTTAATTGAATCCACCCGAGCTTTGCATAAATCCCGCCGGATATCGCGTCGTATTTAGCGCGAAATTGAAATTCTTGCCAGTCGCCACTCGGTATTTGTCTCTTCGCGCGCGCGTCTCTTTTTCTTTTCGCAACCAGCGACAAACGAAAAAAGAGAGGAGATAATATTATCTCTCTCTCTCTCTCTCTCTCTCTCCTATTAATAATATTTAACTGCACGCCCGCACATGGAAGTAGCTCGGCGAAGCTGTTCTTCGACCTTCTCTTTTTTTCTTTTTTTACCAAGAATCGCTCGCAACGACACCGGTTATCTCGGATTGCGGCGTCTCGCCGTTCTCGTCTCGGCTCACAGTCGAATAAATTCCACTTCGTGTACTTTTCCCAAGCGCTGTAAAAGAATATGAGGAGTGCAACGTTGAAATCACCCGGGTGGGTTCGCACTCTCCCGACTCTCGGTCGGTTGATTATTTCCGGGATTGGAGTAATAATATCGCATCCGGCCCGGCGAGCCGCACGTGTGCACGTGTACGCGGCGGCTGATATGTTATTTAAAAATCACGTGCAAGCATTACATTCGCAAGCACAGATCCGCGTGGTCTCTCGCGATCAGATACGCGAAGCTGAAATATGACATTGCGTGTTCGCCTCGCGTAATAATTCTTGCAACTTTTACGGCCGTCTCGCGCAGGTATTCTCGGCGCGCGAACAAAAATATTCGCGCGCGACGACTCGCGCTCGGGGTTAATAAATAAAGACGGAGGATGATAAGGTAGACAACGGACGGGGAGAGGGGGGGGGACTCATGACAGTGGCGGTTGGCCGCGACTGTCCTCTGCGCGTCTGTTTGCCAAACCATTTTTGCATATTTCGTGTGGCGCGCCGGAGAGGAAGTGCCGGCTTTTTCTCGGCTGCACCGCCTGCGGGGGCGATTCGTCACGCATGCATTGTCATCATTCCGCAGGAACGAAGAGAAATGTCGGTCACGTTCGCGTATGTCGGAAGTCTGAAATCTTTTTCTGCCGCTGTGTTCAATGACGGGCCGGGTGATTGGTTGCGGAGAAAGCGGACCGGCGAGAGGATTCGTACGTACCTTTTTTTACCTCGGCGACCGGCCGTTTTGCCACGTCAATCTCGTTTCGCTACGTGAGAATCGTTTCTTTTTCGGGGGGGGGGGGGG